AGAGTGGAGTATATTGAGATACTCTCAAAGAGAAATCTCCTATATCAAGTATGAAGTGGGCCGCTTCTATGAGAATGACAAAAGGGCTAATTCTCTAGAGTACTTGATGAAATTTACCAGGTGCTGTCCCAGGGCCATAATGGGCGCAACAAATGGACTAACGAGAGAGAGAAGAAACAAGCATTCTAGAGAAAAAGAGCATTCACATATTTGCTCATATCTCTCTCTGAGTTCGCTTGGTATTTGGAAAGCTTCTTCCAAATACGCGGTCGTTGTATCTTGGGAGTTCACCGTGCTCCAATAGCCTCGAAGCTTTAGAGGTGGCACGGAAATCGAACTTAAGGAAACTGTGTTTCACAGGCCTCGACAAAATAATCTTTTAATTTCAGGTATTTATCTGAAATCGCTCGAATTGCCGGAGTTTTGCCGTCGTCAACAACTGCCGTCCCCAACAGAATATACAAAACCCATTTCAGAATATTAGGTTTGGATTCAAGAGAGAAGAACGGATGATGGTGGAGAGAGAACAGAAAGTCATGATTGCGACAACTGAGCATCTCTATAATAAACGGGAAGAATAAAAACAACATGACGTCTTAATATCTAACACTTTGACTGCGTGCCGTTTTTATAACTCCTGACTGACTGAGTGAGAAGTGAGATGCTCCCTATGAGCTAAACCCCCTCTCATCTCCCCCCCCCCCCCGCTTCTGAGCTTAAACCCCATTCCCCGATAAAGATTCCGAATTTCCAGAAAAAATGGTCGCTTGATTTGGTTACGTGTGTCTAGGCTTTTCTCGACTTCATGGTACAGCGAGCTTTGTGAAGAAGCTCTGGGTTCATGGCGTCTCTCGCTTTCGCGCTGTTTCTCTCACTTCCCAGGTCTCCTCGAATCTCTCATCTGCTTCCTAAATTTTATAAAAAATTTCAGATGTTGGTCGAAACTGGAACTTAATGTGCTTGTTCTACGATGAAGCTCAGCAAGAGAGGCCGCTTGAAGACGACGTGTGTTAAACCCTGTGCAGAAGATTCTCTCTCAAAGTCGGAGATCAATGTTGATGTACTGAAAGAGGCAACTAACCCGTTTTCAACGAGTTTTTTTTCTAATAAAAGACAAATGGTATACTTTGGTGCAGGCAAGAATGTTCTACTTCGGCACGCATTCTCTGCTAGATAGGAAGATGAGATCGACCACGTTCCAAGCCATCAAGATATCGAAGAAACTAGCTAGGCAGTGTCGTCTTCTATGACGTGAACCTGCCTTTACCGTTATGGCAGTCCCGTGACGAAACCCAGGCATTGATCCAACAAGTGTGGGACCTTGCGGATTTCATCGAGGTCACGAAACAAGAGCTCGAATTCTTGTGTGGGATAAACCCGATTCAAGAGTTTGATACCGAAAACAACAGCAGCAGCAAGTTTGTCCATTATGAGGCAGAGACGGTGGAACCTCTTTGGCATGAAAGTCTCAAGGTTTTGTTCGTGACGAATGGCACTTCTCAGATACATTATTACACTAAAGAGCACAGTGGTTCTATTCTTGGAATGGAAGATGCACCCATCACTCCTTTCACAGGGGATATGTCTGCATCTGGAGATGGCATTGTTGCAGGTCTGTTTTTTCTTTTTCTGTAGCTTTCTCGGAATCCAAACAGGAGTTTGGCTGGTAAACTTTGTTGGGCCGACATGTTTCAGGTCTGATGAGAATGCTGACAGTTCAATGGTAACTGATAAAGGATACCTGGAAAAAACTGTAAGGTATGGGATGAGTGTGGGGTTATAGATCAATGGTTGCTGGCACAAACACGAGGGTTCCCTGTTAAGGGAGAGGTTGGAGAAGATGAAGATGAAGATGAAGAAGAGGAAGAAGAACCTGATCCAGGTGGGATCAGATCAATAACAGAGAGGGAATACAGAACAGTAGAGTATGTTGATGAAGAGGACGATCCATTTGCTATGAAGCCAATAGCAGAAAGAGTATACAAACTTTTGGAGCCTGTTGGCTCAGTAAATGATGATGAAGAAGATTCATCTTGATTTTTTGAATTTGAGTAATCCAAAAATTTGGATTATTAATCAAATTCCCTCCTATTAATCTGCATAACTTGTATCAGTGATTTAACTTTGTAGTTTCTCAATAATTTGGAAATCACAGGAGAAAAAACTTTAACCAAGAAGATGAACAACAACTTGCTTGTTCTGTAACCAAATAACTTGGAAGTTAGTAGTAGTACAGGAAGAACATGCATGATGTTCTGTAATAAACAAAAACTGTCTCATCTCCTCCATTACCTAAATATCTATAAATGGAAGTGGTTTAAGGATGAGACAGGGGATACAAGAGAGCGGCCGGCCACACAAAAACCAACCAGTTAGAGCGGTCGTTGAAGCAATCAATCAAAATCTTACAGTCGAAGGATTGTCCGAAGGGTGTCGCATAAATTCTGAATGGTTTGCTGTTCTTGTGTTGCTTGCAGTTCCTGTAATGGCATCTCCTCGTAGCAACTGCATCCAATTCAAATCAATAAGCACCAGTTTATCAACCAAATTCATCGGGGTATATATATATGTATTAATACATACGTTCTGTGGTAAGCAAGAGCTTGTGCCAGATTCATCAGCGTTGAACTTGACATCAGCCTTTGGTACACACTTGGTGGAAGAGGCATCTGTAACCATTTTATAACTCCGTCATGATTATTATTATCTAACACTATATATGAAAGTAAAAAGGGAGAGGGAATATTTTGGGTGTTTTGAATTTGATTTGACCTCATTCTGCACACGACGACCCTTCTTCATCAGTGGATCAGCAGTGAACAGCTCCTGAAGAGCTTCCATGGCTACTGTTCCATTTCCGTCACGTTGCATGCCTCCGATCATGTCTTCTGACAAAAGAGCAATTGGAGATATGTCCGTTGCTCTCAAGAATGGAATCGGTACTGTGTTTCCAGCTGCATATATGGACCATAACTGCAACATACCATTCTCCATGTAACTTTTTTTTCACCCGCTCCGATATGGACCATAACTGCAACATACCATTCTCCATGTAAGCTTTTTTTTCACCGCCTCGAAAGTAACATTGAAAGGACCGACATTGACTAGAAAGTGGGATAAGCAACTAAAATTGAAACTAACCTTATCTTGCAAAGCAAATGCTTTCCTGCCAACAGTTTCGCTCTTCAATGTGCCACCACTTGCATCACTGCCACCTTCGGTTTGTGCTCCAGATAAGCTATTTGGGTTGGTTTTATTCTCAGGAGATTTAGAAACTGAAGGTGACCATCCCCGCAAGCTCTGTGAAGTCGATTCTTCAGCTGGAACATCATTTGCAGAAGGACCTCTTTTGTTGTGAATCCTAATGACAGATTTACGAGATGTGGTATGATCAGGAAACTAGTACATTCTCTGACCAACGGAAAAGCAAGCGCCTAATTATATTTGTGGTCCGGAAAGGTTGTGGATATGTTTCGGGTCTGGATATCAAAAGGGTGTTTTGGTAAAATACCATGACTCGGTTGATTCACCTCCCGAGAAACCGACAGATGAGCTATCCACCTGAGCAGATGAAGATTCTTTCTCGCGTGTAAGTTGTGTTCTGGAGTAACTCTCATCTATCTCGTCTCCACCATGGACAATCATAGTTCCGAATTCACCAACTGATCACATAAACAACTGCAAATATAACTTAACTGCCTTTTTTAATCCAAGCTACGCGCTAATAAAGCTGCTAACAAAATATCATCAAATACTATATCACCTGCCAATAGATTTCTTGTGCATCAAAATAGATAAGTGGTCAATAAAGTAAGCATAAATCAATAACAGCGGACCACACTGGTTCCTTTTATAAGAAAATCCAAAAAAAAGGAGTAGATTTCATGTCAATACCTTCTCCAGTCAAGACAGTGGTACCAGATATATCTTGTTGCTTGGTTGAAGGTGCCTCATTGGCATTTTGATATTTAGTACTAGGGGGTTTAGATGGAACAGTAACTCTGACATCCTCACCCGATTTTGGATCCAGTGATGACTGTGACAAAATTAGACTTAATATTAGAGAGATAAACCTGAGAAGATGTTAGAGAACAGATGGGAGAATAGAAGAGAGGCCATTGTACGTGGAAGAATGAAGACATACAGTATCTTCTTCTGAAGAAGGCACGACGTTTTGCGCTTGCAGAACAATTGAAGCTCGTACTTGTCTGGCCTTCTCAATCTTTGGCAACATTGCAGAAGCTCCAAATTTGCATCTCTCGATAAATTTATGCTAAATTCCAAATTCAAAGAAAGAATACAATCAGAATTAAAAAAATTTAAATATCAAAGAGGATGCAAGCTACAAGAGTAATTGATCATGCGCTATCAAATGCATAAACATGCTAGCGAGGAAAAGGAAGCTCCCCCCCAAGAAACAAGTATGGCACATGAAGAAAACAAAAATAAAAATGAAGAAATTCTATATTACAAATCTGTACATGCATAATAATCATGCCCATGTCTTCCTCACAGGAGATAAGCATATTATCATAATCTACCTTCAGCAACTCAGCTGCGGTTGGGCGAAGACGAGGCTCTTTGGTAAGGCATTTTGCAACAAAATCATGAAATACCAAGGACCTGCAAAACGTAAAATTGTACAGAACTTCTACATGGGTTGCATCATTAAGCTTCAAGTAATTTCTATGTATCTATTTGTTTACGGCACAAGCAAGTATAGAGCCAGGAGTGGATCAGTTCTGGAATCCAACTGTCGACCACCACAGCCATTTTATAAGCATTTATTTGCATAATGTCACAGAAAAGATATAGACTTATCCATAATTTAAATGAAACAAAATGTACCCGATCGACTTAAAATGAATTTCTTCTATTGTAACCATAGTCATGATACAACAGTTGAAGAGCTGATGACAAACCATTTTTCTTTATCTTCAAGCATTGGAGCTGGCTCGATGGATATCATGAACAAAACCTAGCAAAGCCCGATATCTTGGATAAGATACTGAAAATAATTACCATAGCTCGATCATAAGAAAATGCATATCAATGGTACAACTTAAAATGCCATTGCCACCAAGTAGCATGTGCTACTCTTCAAAAATGTCACCAGCTACCCCTTAAAACAAAAGTGCAGAGCCTGCCACTGTCATGCATATCTTTAGGAACAAATTATCCATTCTAAACCACAAACCAGTTTATGTTTCATATTCTGCTGTCTTATCTTCAAAACCATCACATGAACAGATGTTAAGAAAAGCCTATTCATCAAATAATTTTGGAACAGAACAACAAAAGCCATATGGCAAAACCTCAGAATATACCTACCCTCATTGGATGCACTGCCGATCTTGGAGGAAGCCCCTATAAAAAACAAAACTAAGCGTCAAAAGACTATTGAAGGATGAATGAGAAAATATGTTAGAAGTTGGACAAACCCAAAGTAAAAAAAAGGTACAAGCTTTGGTTTCTTTTCTCCAGTAGCATGTCCATGAGGAGTAAATTTAAGTTAACAGGTTGGTCTAACATAAAACAGTCACCAACTGGCTTTGCTTAATTATCAACTGAAATGTGATAAGCTCCATACGAGCCATTGGCATAATAACCCCTATACCTCTGCCATTTCAATTGCTGAAACACCAAGAGCCCACACATCCACCTGCAGTACAAAATCAGGTAAAAAAAAATCAACAGGAATATGTGATTCTATTCAGTATAATTAGTGCCAAAGCAATTTCTTTTGCTAAAAGACTTAATGTCTAATAGAGAACAAAACAAAATGACAGTATCTCCATAAAAACTTGTAAGCAGTATTCTTTTTAGTACAAAATTAGTTCCTTTTCTAGAGATAGTCACAGCCTAAAAAGCATGATATAAGATTTTAACTAAAGAAGTCACCCATAGATAGAAGACACCGTTACCGAGTAATCAAAATTCAACAGTTTGATCAGGCCTGATCCTTTCAGTCTAAATAGGATTGTATACCTTCCCATCATATCGACTTTCCTGAATAACCTCTGGAGCCATCCAATGTGGAGTCCCGATGAACTGCAAACAGGATGAAACATTTGGAATCTAAGATAACTTACCAAATCACATCTGACCCCCCTATATCATGTTACCAAGTCTCTTTGGGCACAATTCGCTGATCAGAGGCCAAAATTATAAACTGACTATCGCAGCAGGTACTTACAGTATTACGCTTCGACATAGTCCTTGTAAGTTGGGCTGCAACCCCAAAATCGCCTGATAATATCCAGGAAATAGAACTACAGAATCAATTGGTTGTCGTAAAGAAGAGAAAGATATTTCCTATCGATGAGCTAAGAGAACAGTAAGATTCCAAGCTTCAAAGTTCAAACCATAAAAATCAACATACAATAAAAATTAAGAAAGATGCAAGCAAATGACAAATATCCTTGTTGTTTGGTATATTACTCTCCAAGCTTACGTACCCAACTTGACCTCTCCTTGTTCCGTCAACAAGATATTTCCACCCTTAATGTCTCTGTGGACCTTGAAAATTGAGTGCAAGTATGCAAGGCCCTAGATATAAGACAACAACAGCAAAAGGATATAAGATGAATGCATAGACAAGCTGACAGGCAACACCCAAGAGTTTCACGGGAATGATCAAAACATGGAAACTAGTGTCAATTACAGGAAAACAGGGATCGTTTTTCTTCTGAATGCTTCCCAGGAATGATATAGATTACGAAAATTGTCCTAAAAAAAACCTTCAATGTCTCTCGACAAATATATGCTATTTGATACTCTTCCAATGGCTCCTCAGTAGCATTCATCAAATCTGCAACACTTCCACCCCCACAATACTCCATCACTATCTGCCAGAGTATAAACATTAGCAATGAGAAAGATACAAAATATGCGGAAAAGTCATCAAACCAATCGCAGAATATAAAACTTATACCTTTTATATCTAACAAATTGACAAAGCTAGTATTCTGACACTCACCCAAAGATAATCTTCTCCTTGGTAACTCCCGAGATAGCGGACAACATTCGGATGATTACACTGCTGCAACATCTCAATTTCTCCACGGATCTCTTCGTATCCCTCCTCCTGGTTAAAAAGGGAAACTTTACTCACATCAGGCGCCTCAGCCGCTGCAAGATTTAAAACAACTTGACTTATTTAACAGTTGAAGACAAGGTAGAAATACCCCTTCAGTCAGTGATATGACTTTGACAGCAACAAGCTCCGCTGTTTTCAAGTCTCGTGCCTTGTACACAGCTCCATATGACCCTTTTCCTGCAAACCCAGATGCAAAATCTCATCATTATACACTGTTGAACCAATAATGAGAAAAACTGGAAAACTCAGTTCATGGCTAGTGGAATCAAATGGGAAGAATGCAGCAAATCCGATACAGAAGGATAAAAGAAACCGGTATGATTAATCCAGAAAAGATATAGGGAAGTATCCGCACCAAGTTCATGAAGCAATTCGTACTTGGTTGTCGGATCTTCCTTGGTAATGCTCTCAGGTATGGAGGTCGTAGAGATTTTACTGTTCTGCTGCTGCATCTGGCGATTCTCTTGAGCTTGAAATTGAGAAGAAGAGTCGACTTTCCTGTTCTTCCCTCCAAAACCTAACTCCCCAGACTTCTGCATACTCGCTACCGCCCTTTCCATTGTTGACATCTCCCTCTCCTTCTCCTTCCTCTTCCCTTTCTTCGCCGTCGATCTCACCACAAACGTACCGTACTCCTCCCCATCGTCATCCTCATCGGAGAAAGCGTCATCGTCGTCTCTCCCCCGCCTCGACCTCCATCCGGGACTACCCGCCATGCCCGGCTTCGGAGAGTACTGAACATTCCGGCTACGGCTACTCCGATCCGTCTTGATAACCACGGTGCCGAAATCGCCGTCTCCACCGTCGTCCTCGTCATAGTCGAGCGAGGCTCCTCCTCCGAAATCCTTCGGGAGATTCATGAGTAAGGGAGGAAGCGAAGCGTCGTCGTCTTCCCCGTTATCCCCAGCTCCGTCGGCATCTTCCTTGTAGACCATCGTAGCGTAGAGGTCGACATCTTTATCTTTCTCATCCTCCTCCCGGTGCTTGGCCTTGCCTTTGCCTCGTCCTTGATCGGAATCCGAATCGGAATCGGAGTGAACCACGAAGGTGGAGTATAGCTCCGGCTTCGGCTTCGGCTTCGCCTCCGGCTTCCGGCTCCACCGATATCGAGGCGAGTTATGATCCATCTCTCTCTCTCTCTCTCTGCTCGGAACTCCGAACGAAGAGGGAACTGGAGAAGTGTTGCTAAAAATAAAAGGCAAAATTCCGTTAAAATACACAAATTTTGCAAATTGTATAAAAAATATACAAATTTTATAAATAAAATCTTTAAAAAAACTTTTAAAATCAAAAACAAATTTCTATATGAATTAAAATATTAATTTTAAATGGAAAACAATTTTTATACGAATTGATTTTATGTAGAAAATTGATGTGGATTTAAAATTTTGAGATATTTTTAAATATATTTATTTGCAAAATTAAATATTTGTATTCTTTTTAATCTTACAAAATTAGTGTATTTTGATGGAAAGTATTTTTTTTTAAAAAGGCCAAACTCAGAATTTGCCAGCGGGCCCATTACCTCTTCTGTCTTGTTCCATTTCATAAATTATCTAAATGTCACTGAAGAATCTCAACATAACTTAACAATTGCATAATGGCAATGATTTTCAACATAGTTTTTTTTTTTTTGTGTGTGTGTGTTTGGTTTACCATACAAAACATCATCGGCTTACAGACATTACAAACAAAACAGTTTCCGCAAGAATAACAGACAAAGGGCTTTCTTCACATAAGAGGGAGAGGATACGATAGGAAAGGTAAGCAATGAATTGGCTCAGTGACTCAGTGGTTCGGTGGCTCAGTTGCTACCCCCACCGAAGAGGTATCCAAGCGACGAACCGCCCCCAGGGACCGCATGAACCTTGGTCGATGGCCTATCCTGCTTTCACCACTCAAATCCTTAGTAAACCATCCCATTGTGTCTCCACAACAACAAAAAGAAAACAAGAACTCGGGGTCGAGGAATGACAACATTCCGATTCAGAGAGTAGCCCGAGTAAGTAATCAAATCATCCGACAGATATTAATTCATCTTCCAAATAGATACCCCAACGAGCTCTGCCCTCCACCCGCACTAACTCCACGTCCCATTCTCTCTCTCTCTCTCGATTCTTAGAAAATCTTCCAAACCTTCTGGATTCGAAACATAAAGGAGATGTAACCAGTTGGAATCAAGAACAAAATCAAGCCATCAAGATCGTC